CTTTAATATAAGTTTAACATGACAGCAAATGTACAACGTTTCGACAAGGTTTTGTACATTTGCTGTCATGTTAAACTTATATTAAAGTTTTTCTTCATTACCCATTTAAGCCGTCTCCAGTCATTATTAGTCTCAAAGTGGGTTCCTCGTCATCGAATTTGAATACATGAACAAAGCAGGTTTCGCGAGGAAATCATACACTGCCACCATCCAATCAGACATCGGAATTTTGATCTGTCAGTACTACCAGTATGATAAACTAAGAGACACCCGATTCAAAAAATAAATAAATAAATTCAATAAATTAGTGGTTGGAATATAAACATTTCATTGGATGTTTACGTTTTAAAGATTTTTTGTAGGTAAAAACTTCTAGAACTTGTATAAAACTACGTTTAAATCCTAGAAAATAGATAATTAAAAAGTGGGTATACTGTAAGTGTATTTTGAATGTAATAAAATTGACGTTAACTGTTTATTTTAGTTTCTTGTATCTAATGCTGTGTGCAGTTAATTTTGTAGTAATAAAGCAGTGAGTAGCTAGTTTTGTATAGTTAAAACACTGAGTAGTTATAGTTTTGCGCAAGTAATGATTTCTTTAATTTTACTAAAAATCTACCCAGTCCATCATCCTTCATAAAACTAGTTGGTAACTACATTATCTATATGAAGCTAACACTGCATTAACTACCACTTCATAATCAATATGAAACTGATAATGCAATGAGTAGGTTGCTTTGTACTGATAATACATGGCTGGTTTTATATGGATATTGCTGTCGTCAGGTAGTTTCATATAAATAATACAATAAATAAAGAAATAGACTTTTTTTTATTATGAAAAGACTGATACGCACACAATTGGTAGAAGGACATTTAATGAGGTCCTGATTATACATTTCACATCTACAATTACTACATTAAAAGTCCCCACAGTGGGCGAGTGGCAAATATGGTACTCCTTGCAAAATCAAAGAAATCTGAAAATAGCAGATAAATAGACCCCTTGTGCAGTTTGTGTGAAAATCTGAAACAAACATAAGAATAATAATTTCGCCGTTTAAAACCAATCTCTTTGTTTAATTTAATAATGGACACGTGTATTGATTGAGTTTTTCTCTAGAATTTAAGAACATGTTATGGGAATAAATAATTCACTAGTTAAGTACCTCAACCTGAACAATAATGTTAATGATTCGAAAGATATTAAAATAACATACTTAAACTTACTTATATTTTAATAATCTCAATATACTTGGAGTAAAGTGGTACTTAAAAATCTGAAAATGGTTTTTAAGATTCCATTCTAACAAAATAGGAACCATACTTCTATTAAACACAAACACACATTTGTATATATTTGATTTAGTACAAAGATACACAATAGGCTGTCTGTGCTTTGTCCATCGCGGTGAATCGAGCTCTGGATCTTAAGGTTTTAGTTTTAAGTCCGCAAACAGAATTCGAAAAATAACAGGAATATTCGACAGATATTGTATCACTAAGCAGTGCCTGAGCTTTTCTGCTTTTTACAATCTTATTTACAAATACAAGTTCGAGTTGACAGATGTTGCATCTTCAACAGAAGAAAGGAGGCTAGTGTTATCTGCTTGTGCTCTCTCGACAGTCCACTTTTAGCTCACAAATGCTGAATTTAAGTAAAAGTGGAGTTTAAGACGTCGGGTTGTATCTAAAGCTGTCTAATGAAAAATCTAACTGAGAAATTTGTGACAAAAACCAACATCAAACAGTCTGTACCAAAAATATGAAAAGGATCTAACATTTAGATAATGTTACATTTTATATGTAAACTTCTCCTCTCACTCTCAATGACAACAAGAGATGTCACTCTTGGGCCATCACCTGACAACTCTTGCTATATATATAACATGTCTCATGTTACAGCAATGTTTTCTCATGGTGAGCACATGTGTTGCCCTTTGTAACTCATCCAGTCCCGTGAATATCTAAGGCGAGAGAAACTTAGTGGTTCCCTTCACCAGCTAACTATATTTAGAACAAAACCTGAAATATTTTAAACAAAATGCCTAATAACTAAGGGGCTAAGAAACGTGATATAGCCTAATATATTATAGGCGCATAACTGTCTTTAATTTTGAATTGGAAAACTTGAGGGAAGGCAGCTAATCAACAGCACCCACCGCCAAAAGTTTATAATTCTAATCATGTCAACATGAATGTGGCTGCATTAAAATGTAGTAAATGTTCTGGCTTTTTATTATCTTGTTGACGACAGAAGTAATGTGTGAAAAGTATTTTTACAAGTTCAGTTTTATCACTTGTAAAGTACATATACCAAAGTATTTTCTTATTCAAATTATCAATGAAACAAATGTCCTTTGTTCTTTAATAAATAATTTATTGATGCTTTTTATTGTATTAGTCAAAGTCGTAAACAAAGATGTTTTTAACAAAAAGTTAAAAACTGAATTCTCCACCAAAACTTTAATAGTATTGATAACATGTAAATTATCAACTATTTTCCGTTTATATATATATATTTTACTTTTAACGTTGTGATTTCCAAAATAAGCTAATAAGATCCATATAATAATAATAATAATATTTTTTATCATTTCAAATGTATCACAAGCTCAAAGGGCTTGTTTTTACTCTCTTCAGTTGTCACTAACAAGTGTGTTTCCTGATAGCAACTGACCAGTGGTCAGTTCTTCAATTGTTGAATAGCATAATATTTTAACCATTTACGTTGAATTTTACCAAACTGAGACCTTGGAATTTTGTCTAGAATCGTCACCCACTTCAGTTGTTTCTGTGGTGCTAGACGAGCTGTAAACAGAATAAAATAATATATATTCTTCTCTAGATGTCGCAGGCGAATAGTAATTATAGGTAAATGATTATTTAATAGTAAATTGACAAACAACGATTTATAAGCATAATAAAAATCATTTTATATAGACGGCCTACTACATGTTTCAATAAAACTTTAATTTGTCTTCTTCAGCTACTTTCTCTACCCAGAACCTTATGTTTATATTTTCCAAACTATTCTCTCTTCAAAACGTAAAATAAACGTAAGAGGATCCAGTGTTAACCTATTTACATACTATTCATAACATAGAAATAATAACCTGAAATAAACACAGGGGAATCCAGTGTTAACATATTTACATACTATTCATAACATAGAAATAATAACCTGAAATAAACGCAGGGGGATCCAGTGTTAACATATTTACATACTATTCATAACATAGAAATAATAACCTGAAATAAACGCAGGGGGATCCAGTGTTAACATATTTACATACTATTCATAACATAGAAATAATAACCTGAAATAAACGCAAGTACAATTTCCGGTGTCACGTGACAATCATTCTTAGCCACCACGAACCCGTAAGGTACTTCTCCCAAGGCCGAGTCTCGAATACCAACTACAGCAGCGTCCTCTATAGCCTGATGACTACATAACACAGATTCTATTTCAGTGGGAGAAACCTGATGACATCCTGTCTTGATCATTTCCTTTATTCTGTCGGTGATGTAAAGGTTTCCCTCCGAGTCATAGTAGCCAAAATCTCCTGTTATATGTTGTTAATTTGAATTACGTCATATGATTAAATTAAAAAGAAACTAACTCAAGTTTTATATAAAGAATTTTGAAACAAAGACAATGTTTTGAGTGTTGCTACTACATAAAATACAGAGTAAAATAACTGAAACAACTGCCTTCCATTCTTCACTTTCTCCTAGCGGATTGACACACACACATATATATATATATATTTCATAAAAAAATATTCTGTTTGCAAATCTGCATTAAACTGTTAACAGATAACTATACTCTGACTTTTTTAAAGATGCGTACGGTAGCTAGAAACACGCCCCAGTACAAAGTATGCCATTAAAATTATTTTCAATATCACTGTGTCGTAATATTACGTTACTCGTGAATAATTCATGGCTAGCTAATTTACGCGTTCTACAAAAGAAAAAAAGTGTTACGCATCTGCTCGTTTGATAATTTCCGGTATAAATTATTTCCGAGGAACTTCAGCGATACAAGTCCTTTCTTAATCAAAACTAGTTTATTCTTTCTCGATACAACTTTGTAATACACAGAATTTCTACAGTCACTTTAAACTTAACAACCTTTATAACACACGCTATAAATCACAGTGGTTAACACACTTGACTTACGGTGCCTACTGTTCGCTTGACTGAATTATCTATATCTTCAATCTATCTGCATATCTATCTATCGCTGGCTTTATTTGCCGGGCTTATATACTAAAAAAAGAGGGCGCCTGGCAAACACTCGGACATTCGCGAGGTTCCTCGATAAGTCATGATCCTTCTAGAAACTCCAGCGTGCATGCTCTCAGCGTCGCGTGACTTCCGCTGTCGTAACAAAAGCAAAAAATAAATAACGTTCCCCTTTTCAAGAGTAGATAGATTATGACTCCAACAACCTTGTGGGCAATAAATCCGCTGGACAATATAAAAATCATCCCCCTTTTAAGAGAAGATTGATTATGGACTCCCGTAACAGCTTTAAAAACAATAAATCTTCTCGACGAGAGAGTCTGTAGACGATGGCGTTTCTGGTAACTCTTTCAGCCAAAAGATTCATTGTTTTCAAGATTAGTGGAATTCATAATTAACTTTCTTCTATCGTAACAAATACAACCTAAATCAGAATTTATTTGTTTTGTAACTATTAAATTTCTTGAAGAAAAAGCAAGTCGAATCTAAACATGCACCGTCAAACTGCATAGATCTAGACAGAAATGCATTATTTGTTACATCGATGTATTAGAAAGGTAGCTCCACCAGTGGCATGTCTGCGAACTTACAACGCTAAAAACCGTGATGGGCGGGGAACAGAGAGCCCATTGTTTAACTTTGTGCTTAACTTCAGACAAATAAACAAACACTCAGAAAGGTAATGCAGAGTTGGTGAAACATTTTCTATGTGTGTAGACAGATTGTAGATCTTAGTAGATAATGTCCAGTTTCTTATTTTTAAAACCACTGGAATAGTTGGGGTCGTTAAATTTGCTTCAGTTTCATGTAAATCTTGTTCGCTTTTTCAAAGTAAATTTTAATTATTAAAAAAAGTTCTTTTTGGAACATGTGAAAGTTATTACACCAAGTGACTAAAACATACAAAATGTTTAAGTAACAGAAAGTCAAATCGGATTTACAATTTTAAACTTGTGAAAACAAGTTAATCATTGTTACAATGTGACAATTCGAGTGTGTGTTTTTTTTTCAGTATATATTGCTATCAACTTAGGCCTAAGAGAAGTTAGTTACAGAAGTCGGTCATATTGACAAAGATATATATAATAAAACACTGGATTTGAAATGCCCCCTTCCAAAGTACGTCAGCCTAGCCGCCGTATTTGTGCGGTCAGTCTTCCTCGACAGAACTCTAGAATAACTCAGAAAAGAGTGATCTCAACTGGAAAAGTTAAAAGTATCACAGCATTGTTCAGCATGAACCAAGAAACAGGAAATCACATTTCTCTTGTTAAACGGCCCCCAAGTGGCACAGCGGTATGTCTGCGGACTTACAACGCTATAAACCGGGTGGTGGGCAGAGCACAGATAGCCCATTGTGTGGTTTTGTGCATAACTACAAACAAACAAAACGTGTCAAACGTTTATATATTTATTATTGAGCGTTTTTTTATGTTACTTTTGTAGCAAAGTTGATTCTGCATTTGAAAAGGAACTACACTTTGTCGCCAGAACAAATTTGGTTAATTATAGATGTAATTTGTAAAGTTAATCTCAAATTTATAGGCAGATTAGTTTTGTATCTTTATACTAGTTTAATTTCAAGTGTCTTTCGATATTTTGTTTCAGAATTACTGCCATGTTTTATGCATGCGTTGCGTCCTTCTATTTATATGGATGCGTCTCTCCATTTAAAAAAGAACAAAAAAGATTCATATAAATGAGAAAGCGAAACTTAAGGCTAGTGTAATGCCATAAAGCACAGAAACACAGAAATTAAGGAAAGACACTATCGCTTAAATTAAATTAGTGTTTGATCATATACTAACAGATGCTCGTTGAATGTAATTTTCCTAAAAATAGTGATGAATAAATAAAAAATGTGCAGTGAACCCAATCCCTTGGATCAGAGTGTATATGCAATATGATTGTCCTGTGGGCCGTTTACAACCGTATTTTGTCATTCCATGTGTTATTTCAATAGGTAAAATTACATTGCGTTTGTTTTGAAGCAAAGGAGGCTGAATACAATGTATTGTTGACAAAAAATGTTTGGGTTTCGATTCCATGGGTGCATCCAGCACAATAGAGCGCTCAGGTTTGCTAAATACCCGCGGGGATTTTTTTTCCGCTGGATGCCACCGCTCCTTGTCATTTTACTGACCGCAAGAAAAGACCGCTACCGAAGTGAACACTTTTTGACAGTTGTCGTTTCTGTAAAAATTGGAAAAGGGAAGATATTCAATTCAATTCAAGTTAATTTATTAAACATGGTACAATAAAATCATGCATGTATATAATACCGACATAAATATATATATATCAACCGAACAACAACAAACACGCTCCTTTCTTTATGCGTTTTTTTCCCTTTCATGCTCCTATCTTCAAAGTACTTCTTTTCAATCAGTCGACAGAGGAAGTCCCGTTTTTTTTTGTTGTTTTTTCGTGAAATTCCCTCACAAAAAGAAACTTTTTCTCAGATTGACCGTTCAGCACATAACAAAGTGATGGATCGATGTTGATATCGATATGAAATTTTAGGAATTGTAAAAAGTGGATAATTTTTCTGTAATGCACTCTTGAAAAGAAAGATTTTGATATATATGTATATATATATATTTACATATTTCTAAAATTAACCGTTCACGAAATACAGAACGTTACAGACATGTTATTTACTTTAGTATAACTGAAGCTATAACTAAAACGTTACTTGACTGTGATGGTCATGCAGTTAAATACTAATATTTAATGACATGCGAAACATAAAAAACAAAGATATGACAAATTAAATTAGAAAACCAGGAAAATAAATCATACTAACCTGTTTTAAACCAACCGTCTCGTGTAAAAATCTCGGCTGTAGCTTTGGGATTATGTAGATATTTTTTCATTGTTTGTGAACTACGAACATAAAGTTCTCCGCCTTCATAAGGACCAAGAGCAACCCCTGTGTCCACATGAATCACCTAAGAAAAAAAAATATGTATTCTGGATTTTCACACAAAGCTACACAAGGATTACCTGTGCATAGCTTTCCTTAGTTTTGAGCTGATAGACTAGAGGGAAGACAGCTATTCAATAACAACCATCTCTTGAGATATTCTAATCAACTAATAGGGTTTGATCCTCACGCTTATAACTCACCCATGGCAATTTTGCGTCAACGCTACGCGAACCATGAACCATAGAATTCACAGACCGGTATGTTAACAACTTGGCTACAACTAGACCATAAAAAAGGGGAGTTGGGGGAAGAATTGCATTTATAAATTTATGATTTTTGAATGATATTTACTAGCATTTCTACTCCAAGTTCCATAATAATGTTTTTCTACTAATTTCTGAAAATAAACTTTTAAAATGTGATTTTCTTGGATTTGAAACTATATGACAATAAATATTAATTGTATTTACATATTTTGCTTTGAACAAAGAAATTTATAAAATAAAAACAGAAAAGACACAAAACTAAATGTGGGTTTGATAAACGACTTGAAGTAAACAGTAATATTGTCAAAGCAAACAGATCTATTGTTTATGAATTAATATGTCATTTATATGTTAAATTAATTGTTCTTTCTCAAATTCTAACACATTCTCAATTTTAGAAAGGATACATAAACCTGATTAGCAAACCCCTCCGGCGGGACAGCAGTAAGTTTACGGATTTAGAACGCTTAAATCTTGGGTTAGATTTCCCGCGGTGGACACAGCACATAGTGCAATGTGGCCCGGTCCGCCATGGCCAGGTGGTTAGGATGCTCGACTCGCAATCCGAGGGTTGCGAGTTCGAATCCCCGTCCCACCAAACATGCTCGCCCTTTCAGCCGTGGGGGCGTTATAATGTGACGGTCAATCCCACTATTCGTTGGTAAAAGAGTAGCCCAATAGTTGGCAGTGGGTGGTGATGACTAGCTGCCTTCCCTCTAGTCTTTCACTGCTAAATTAGGGACGAAATTCAAAACAAAACCAATGTGACCTTCCTACAAAACATACAAATAATTACTAAATGTTTTGCAAAGTTTCGTTTATTTGTAATTAAGCACAAAGCAACACAATGGGCTATCTGTGCTCTGCCCAGATTTAGTGTTGTAAGTCCGCAGACATACCGTTGTGCCACTGGGGGGCTTTGCAAAGTTAATGGAAGAAGAAAAAGGTCAACTCTAATGAACTGCTGTCGCTGATAGTTTAATAAATAATAAAATACACCTTTATTTGTCAGAAACATCTCTCCTATGCGTGGGACGGTGGTAAGGTTATGGACTTACAACGCTAAAATTCGTGGCTAGATTTCCCGCAGTACACAGAATGCAGATAACCTTTTGTGTAAGTTTGCGCTAAAACAACAACAATAAGTTTCTTTAATATTTAAAAATTGTAAAATTTGTTAATTAATTCTAGTTTTAACTTATACATATAGTGTCAATGAACTTTAATAGCAAGGAAAAATATCAGTGGAATAAAATAATTGGAAATTCATTTTTGGATTAGAAAATCTACATAAAATATTGATCAGAAAAAAATGTAACTAGTAATATCATATAATTGAAGTTTGACAGAATTAGTTTAACTAATACACCTTTTAAACCACAATTATATATATTATTGGAAAAACAAGCATATATATTTTCCTACATGTTTCGACCACACTTGTTTGGGTTATCACTAGTTTACTTGTTATCAATCTCAATAAGATAAATGTTAAAATCTCTTTTACTGTGCATTGTAAAAATGATTTAAAAGTTTAACTCATTAGTAGCCAAGGACAAGAAATTAAAAGTTTTTCAGTCTTATGCAAAAATATGATCATAATCTAGTAATAACTTGTAACAAGTGAAAATGTTTGGAAGTTAAAGAAAGGTACTTTAATAAGAGTCGCTTAAAAACAAACCTTCAAATCTACTGAAGAAATCAGTTTTCCAACAGAGTCGGGGACAATCCTTCCTGTTTCGACACAAGCAAGAAAGCCTGTCTCACTTAGGCCGTAAACTAAATTGTGAAAGTTAAAAATTATACACTAACTTTGGGCACTTATTATTATTTGAAGTGTTATAAACATAAATTATGAAACAATATGCTGTTTTAGTGACAATAAATGAATATTAAAAACTAGCTGGAGTACCCGTCCCCTGGACGGAAGTTATGTTATTCATAATTAATGAAAGGTTATCTTAGGACATGAAAAGTTGCTTCCCTTATATGTACTTGTAAAAAAAACCCATAAAAACTGCAAAACATAAAATGTGAAACTGAAAATTTGTATGTATTTCCCCATGGACCTAAT